TGCTATTTAAAATGTATGATGGCTTTTATACTTTAAATATGTTTGAGGTCTTTCATGGCAGGTAATTGACATTAACCGCGACTTTGTGCGGCTGGAACTGCATTATAGAATATTTTCTTTTCGTATATCTGTTTCACAGTTAATATCCCAGTTGTCCTTTTCAAAGATTCTTTTGCCGTTATAACCATCCCAACAAAGTGCTGTTGTAAAATTAATAGGAAGGATCTCACTGTCTCACTGACTCTAGGTTTGGGAGGATTCTGGGCAGGAGGAAAAAAATGAGAAGCTGAAACCCCACTGATTTTCTTACCGGAGCATCTTGTAACATAAAACCCCTGCCACCTCAATACACCCCAAATTCTACCACTCTGAAATGTCATCTCCTACAACCAAGATGAACGCACATAGAAAACTAACTTACACTAATTTTATTTGAGGTCTGAGAAATAATGAAATTGCTTTCTTATTTTGGAACAAAAGGTGTATACATACATGAGCTCTTGGAGAAAAGGATGTTCTCACACAGCTGTTTATAAAGATGGAAAAAGCTGTAATCAGAAGTCGCCTCCTACCTCACTGTAGTTACTACAGACCTTTCTCCAATTCTCCTTCTTATGTAATAACCTCTTGTGAGGCCCCTTAACAGTTATATACCGGTACCGCTTTGATGGTTCTTACTTATTTTCCTCCTAATCAGTGTTTACGTGTGTCGTACGTATACAATTTTCCCCTATTCATGTCACAGAAAACCACCCTTAAATTTGTACCGACAATGAGGAATAAATAAGCAGCAAAAGCCCTTACTTAATTGTTTCTATTCACTGGCTGGGAAAGAGTGCCATTTGACTGTACTTTCCTTGCAGGGCTTAGTCAGGGTCGAAGGTTTGTACGTCTGTTCTCTTATTGCCACGTTGCTCTTCTGGAGACACACACAGCCCTCGCGCCTTAATCTGGTTATTTCGGCAGTGTGTCCCTCCCGGCGGTTTTAATTAGGAACATAGGTTTTGATGGTCAGTCTCCAGCTTCTGGAGAGTTCAGCTCATTTGTCCTGTGATGTCCACTGGGCCAGCAGAATTGTATTCCCTCCCTTCCTTTTTATTCTGACCACAGCTCTCTGTGGCTATTCATGAAAAGATGAGGGACTTGTATTTTCCTCATTAACCCAAGATTGAGGAATTCTTCAGCCCTTCCACGGCCTTGTGCTCAGGCACTGTTTATTATCTTTTGTTAGAACACTGACATTTAAGTTGTGTTTTAAGGATTCAAAGGTGGGACCTGTAGATTCTGATGCTGCAGAGATCTGATTTTCTTGTGATGGAAGCCGTGACTCAGAATCACACACAGCCTGCTTCAAAGCCAGCGAAAAGTCCTAAAGAAAAACGTTACACAAGTTCTTGAACTCAGGTGGAGAAAAATGCATGGGCCATGAAGGAGCACCATATAAGAATCTTCCAATGTTCTTGGCTTATTGCGCAGTGGAACAGAATATACTTTGGGGTGAAGGGCTGCGATATTGTGATTTATAAGCAATATGTATTTGGTCATCTGGATATATTTGGTCTTCATCCACAGACCTCTGCTCACAACTCCTGAAACCTGTGATAAGGGCGAAAGAGGTGGTTTTCATTATGTTAATGAAGGTGGCTTTGCACCCCACCCAAGGGTGGGGGCTGTTTGCCATGAGGACTGATCTTGTGATGGGAGGGTTGGAACTTTCCATCCTAGCCCTCGTTCCCTCCAGGGAGGAGAGAGAGGCTGAAGGTTGAATCAGTTGCCAATGGCCAATGATTTACTCCATCGTGCCTATATAATTAAGCCTCAATAAAAACCCAGGATGGGGTTCAGAGAGCTTTCAGGTTGGTGAGCAGGTGGAGGTGCTGGGAGAGTGAGGCCTCTGGAGAGGGGATGGAAGCCCCACACCCCTTCCCCATACTTCACCCTCTGTATCCCTTTGTCTGACTGTTGATTCATATCCTTTATCATCTCCTTTAATAAATGGGTAAACATTAAGTGTTTCTGTCAGTTCTGTGAGCCACTTTAACAAATGAATTAAACCTAAGGAGGAGGTCACTGGAACCTCTGATCTGTAGCTGGTTGGCCAGAAGCCCAGGTAACAGCCCGGGGCTTGTGACTGGCATCTGAAGTGGGGGTGGGGAGTGGTCCTGTAGGACTGAACGCTAAGCCCATGGAATCCGATGCTAGCTCTGGTTAGATAGTGTCAGAATTAAGTTGAATTCTGGGACACCCTGCTGGTGTTTAAGAATTGCTTGATATTGGCGGAACCCCCAACTTCCCACTCCCCACCCCCACCCCCCACCTGTCTGCCAACTTTGTAATTGGATCTGGGAACCCAAAAGAGTTGGTGTCAGTGAAGGGGCCAAAATTGATGTTAATTATTTGCCTTGACAAAAGTGAGGAAAGAGAAGATTGTGTCATCGGAATGTCTTCATTAAAGGTCTACACACTTGTAATGACTCTTTGGGGGGATCACATAAAGCAAGTACATTGTGTGTGACCCAGTGGGAGCTTCTGAAAGTAGGCTACTGGCAAGTTCGGTGGGATCACTTCCAACTACTAAAGACCTTGACGTTATTTCTGAGACTTCCTGTGTGGGAATATAAGAGAGGGGGAAAAAAGGGCCGGGCACTTGCTGAGCTCTTAGACATACTTGACCATTAATCAGTGGCTGCACGATCTTGGATTCTTTTCTGTATTCTACCCAGCCTTTCTTTGGGTTTTGGGGTTACTGTTGATCTTGGTCAATTACAAATCCCATTTCTGGGTGGAGTTTGCAGAAATCAGTGAACAGAACAGAGAGATTATCTGCCTTTAGATTCCAATGGAGCTTTTACATTCTGCTCTCACTCCTCCCCCTTTCCTGGGCAAGTTCCTTTCCCTTCAGGGGCTCAGTCCTGATGGGATTCACCATACATCTGGCCATCACTGCCTTCCTTTCCCCCATCTACCTGTCAGCAGCCTTGTTCCTCTGTATAGTGAGATGGGTGAAGGAGTCTGAGGATCTGGGCCTCCCTGGGGACCCTGTGTGTCTGCAGGTCCAGTGTCTGAGACGGCAGATTCTTACTGCAGTGTTCACGTCCTCTGAGATAGGATGCTGACAGCTAATGGGGGTAAAGTACATAATGAAGTTGCTGATGCTTTCCTTCAGGGCTTCCCCCACCCTTGATGGGCCTGGGTAAGTTAATACTCCCCCACTTGCCCAAACGTACTTGCTCTTGTCAACCTAAATAAAGAGGGAAACCAAGGCAAGCTCGAATTACCAGAAATTGAGTTTATTTGAGAATAGCTCAGGAGTTGCAATTCAGGACACAAAAACTGTAGCAAGCCCCAGGCAAGTCCATTAACAGTTTGGGGTGGGCTGTTTTTATGGCCAGAAGTGCAGGGAGTCTAGCCTGAGTCCAAGCAGCAAGTTCAGCGGCTTGAGGATGGGGAGACAATCTTGGTAGATGTTCATTGGTTGAGGGATAGCTTTCCAGTCTTCTGGAAATAAGGCATTAACCTGAAATCAGTCTCTAAGTTCTTAAATTTCACTTTCCTGAGGGTGCATATGGGAGATTCTCCATTTCCTATCCTCTTTAAAGTCCTTCCACACTCCCACAGAGCAGTTTGAAAGTTAGCTTACAGAAGGAAGCATGTGTCAATGCAGATTCCTGGGCCTCAGCCTCAGACCTACTCAGGGCTCAGCTGCAGGGTCACAAGACCCACCTGATTCTAGTTCAGGTGATTCTCAAAGCACATGTGGACAGTCCTGTGGAGGGAAAACCCCTCTCCTTTCCAGGGAGCCAGTTAATTAATTCATTAATCAGCACTTACATTGAAGCTTGAGACCCTTGTCTGACATTTTTCATGGAGCTGTGCAGAAATTGAACTTAACATTATTAATGATGGTATCACAAGATCTCCCTGCTTTCTTCCTCGATCTTGCTGTTCTCATTCAGTCCACCAGGCTCTCATCTCCCTTCCCTTTCCTTCACCCTGCCATTGTCATATTTGCTTGCTAAAGCAACTCCTCTCATTTCTTATCTTTGCAGACCAAGGTCAGGGCTGACTTTCTCAACCTCTCCTGATTCATTCCCTCCTTTCTGACCTGCATTCTGTTGTGTTCCACGTTATAAACCTAATCTAAGCCACGTGTTTTGGTTTTATCTTTCCGTGGGCCTTGGTAAGATAGTGTTCTTTCAGCATGTGCTGTTTCTTGGCAGCTACCAATCAGTCTTTTCCCATTTGGAACTTTAAGGATGTTCTTGAGAGGAGCAAGACTGAACTTGGTGCTATGACCCGCTTGGAGAACACTTTGTTGGGAAATGGAGGAATTTCAGTAGAAGACCCCAGGAGCCTACTTTTCTTGCCTTTAGCCTCTGACAGCTTTAAAATTGTCCAAGTATTATCACCACCCAGGCCCTTTTTTTTTTTTTTTTTTTTTGTAAACGGAGAGACCTGCATTCTGCCCTCTACCCTGAATAGGGGCTTAC